TTTTTTAAATGCTTTTTTAACTTCCCAAAAGTTTTAACTTCCCAAAACTAAGCCTTCTCAAACACATACCATAATGAGTTAAAACAGCAAATGTGAACTATTAGTTCTAAGTGATTGTTTCTTAGTAGAATACAATAAATTTCTTTCCTTTCAAGCATTATTTCTAACAGATTGAAAAGCAAACAGTTTCAGGATGTTCTGACTGTACTTTCTTTTGTTCTGATTAGTACGCTGATACCAAAATGGCCAACTCACAACTCCCTTTCTTTCCTTTTTTTACTTTAAAGTTTTATTAGTTTATAATATAAATTATGATTCTTTCCTATAAAAGTTGTTTCCTTACCATTTGAACAAGATGAGCCTGCATAATTAGTTATTTGCAAAAGAAGTTCACAGAAAGAAAAAGAAAAGCTAATGATTTTTCCCCACACACCAAATTCAGTTGTCTGTTCTATGTCACAGCCAAGACTGTAAGTCAGGCATGTCAAACTGCTGGCCCTTGGGCTGGATGCATCATACTGAAACCGTGCCCACCCCATTGCCGGCAATGTGGAAAAAGTCGTGATATGTCGCGATACGTCACGTGACGTCACGAGTTTGACATGCCTGCTGTAAGTGATGATAAAGGAGATTTGCAAATCTGTGAAGAAATTTAAAGGTTCAGGTAAAGCATGCAGTCACTGAACCACAGCTAAAGAGAAGGATTGACTTGGTGTCCCATTGTGACATTTCTAGGTGATGTGATGTTCTTTTTATGTGCGGAAAAACAAAGTAACATAGAAGGTTCAAAAGTACTTCCAACCATCCTCATCCTTTTCTGCAGTTTTCTCCTGCTGCAATAGTTCCCACTATTGGCTCTTGTTCTCCAGTGTTGCTAGTTGCTCCATTTGCCTCAAGACAACAGTACAGAAAATTACAGCCAACCATTTCTTCCTTCTATCTTCCCTATCATGCTTGCGTTTCATAGAGACTATTTTTTAAAATCAGCTACTGGAGGCTGTTGATCAGGTTATAAAGTTATCTCAGAGCAGCTGGGAAGGATGAGGATAGTGGCAAACACAATAATGGCTTGGTTAAGAGGGAAATTGCTCACCCCACAGCTTCAAAGGAAATATTGAAAAAACTGTCTTTTCAGTGTTTCTTTTGGAGCAAAACTTACACCAATAATTAATTCAGCTTCCCAAATTGTAGACAAAACCCACAATGTTGTAAGTACGCTGAAGGAAAGAGTCAATTTCAGATCAGTATGACTTCTACATGTAGGAGGAATATCTTGGGAACTAAACAGTGTAGTTAGTATGAAAATCTGGGTTTAATGTAACACTCCATTACCACTGTATCCAATTCATACAGAAAGTCTCTAAGTATATTATTAGTAAAAATTAAATTAATTAAATATCTCAGGAGTACAATGAGATGTTCTGGCATTCCCATTTTTTCAGAACTTTCCATAACTCTGTTAGAAGTAAAGTCTTCACCCTGGTACATCCAAGCCGGGAATAAATAAGCAAACATGGCGACTGCTTTGGGAAGAAGGTTACAATTTATTGAAGAAAGATGGTTCTTCAGGAAAGTGCAGAGAGAAGGGCTGAGCGCATGGTGTAGTAGGTTTTTATACCCCCTCTAGCCTTTTGTTTGGAATAGTTTCCTGTTCCTGTGGCATGAACCTTGAGGCTGTTTCTGAGTGTTTGTCTAGGCCTTGATATCTGTGGTTTAATTCTATTATCATATCCTGCTTCCCAGGTGATGGGGCTAATGACTCCTAGAGTTTGGGTGGGGTATGCAGATCTTCTCTTTTGTCTTCTTGATTGCTCTGGCTCCAACTTTCTGATGGTTTTACATCTGCATTTGTATGGGGCTAAAGTCTTGCTTGGGGCAGAGAGATAGATTTGGGGCCAGGTTTGGTTTTAAAAAGTCCTTTTGAGGAAAAATATATTTTTCTGCCTTTTTAATATTTCCTTCTCTGGGCTAACTTCCCTCAACCCCATGTGATTGATACAATCAAAAACTTTTCTACAATCAATGAAGCACATACAGCTAGTATTCAATGTATGACAACAATTGAGTCCCAAATTCCCATTGCTAAGCAAAGAAGTTGTTAAGTGAGTTTTGCCTCATTTTACAATCTTTCTTGTCACACTTAAGTGAATCAGTGCAGTTGTTACATTAGTAACACAGTTGTTAAGTAATTCTGACTTCACCATTGACTTTGCTTGTTAGAAAGTTGCAAAAAGTGATCACATGACCCCAGGACACGGCAACTGTCATCAAACTGTCATCAATACCTTCCAGTTGCCAAGCATCCAAATTTTGAACAAGTGACCATGGGGATGCTATAACAGTTATGTTAAAAAAAAAAAAAAAACCAGCCGTAAGTCAATTTTCAGTACCCTTGTAACTTCAAATGGTCACTAGATGATAGTAATAGAAACAGAAAGCATGAAAAGTTGTGCAAAAAGAGCAAGAAATAATATAGAATGCAAAAAGAAATAGAAAAGGAAAAGGAAAATGAACATGCAAAAAAGATAGTTTTCTTTTTTTGCACTTCTGATTTGTCTTAATCTTTCTTATTTTTCAACTCTTTTTATTCTTTGAAATAACAGAAAATACTTGTAGCTTGGGTTTTAGATTTTTGGCAGTGGTTTGCTCTCTGAGCTTGCCATTTAGTTCCCAACATTTTGTTACCAGACTACATCATCACAGGATTTTCTTGTCCTATTCCTCTTTATATATATCTTGTGTGCCAGTATGGTCAGTTGGTTGTGTGATTGGTTGCTCGTTTGGAGCTATGTTTAAATTCTGAGCAGCTGATTGGTTCTCTTGTTGATTGGTCATTCAAATGGTCTGGTTTCTTACATATTCATATGCTGGAGCTAAATCAATATGCTTGTTAATTGTTCTTTTACTAGCATTTGAGGAGCTGCCAGGAAGAAGAAGGGGTGTAATTATTCTCCAAAGCATGAGGGCAGGACAAGAAACAATGATTGGAAGCTAATCAAAGACAGAAGCAACCTGGAATTAAGAAGAAACTTCCTTAATAGTGAGGACAATTAACCAGTGGAAGAGCTTGCATTCAGAAATCACTGAAGGTTTTTAAGAAAAGACTAGACCAGGTATGTCAAACTGTTGGCCTGCATCATGCTAAAACCGTGCCCACCCCATTGCCGGCAATGGGAAAAAAATCCTGATACGTCACATGACATCGCGAGTTTGACATGCCTGGACTAGACAGTCAATTATCTTAAATTGTATAGGTTCTTCTGCTTGAGCAGCAGGCTGGACTGAGACCTCTAAAGTTTTATCTCTATTCCTATCCTACCCTACCCTACCCTACCCGTCTATTCTATTCTATTCTTACAAGAAATAACAACCAGAATCCACTAATGGTCTTACATAAAATATCTTGGGTTTCCCCTTGATTTATCTGGCAGATTCCTCCCTTTTTCTTGAAAACAGAGACTTCTCCTAAAAGCCAAATTCAGTTTCAATTTCAAGATCATCATCAGCAAAGAGAGTCGAAAGAAAATGGAGAATACCAAGCTTCAATAAATTCACATGTGGCAGATGTTGGCATGGCCGATGATTTTTATTTCTTTCCAATCTAACTGGTATTATTCATTGTAAATGTGGCTTGAGATCAGAGATTTTTGATCGTGCTGTTTAACTGCATCGATGTTCATGAATCCTTGTTTTCAACTGCCTTCCCGTTCTTGTCTTTTAATTCTGTTTTTGAAAATCAATAAAGTTATATAAAAAAGAAAGATTTTATCCTTTCACCACAGCATAGAAAACTGTAAAGGCAAAGACTCTGCTGGGCTGCATTCAGTCTCTGGTCTTGGACACAACCATAAACTTTGTAGCAATGAAATTGTTTGCATTGCCTCCTTCCAGGATATATATATATATATACTTCTCCATCTACACCGAAAACTCAGTATTTCCTGGGGAATTCCACCAAGCACTATCTAGGCCTGACTCCACTTAGCTTTTTTCTATCAGCCAGGTGCTGCCACCTGGTGTGGAACAAAAAAAAAAAAAAAAAAACCACCCCAGAAAAGATAAACACAAGCTGTAACTACAAACCCATCACTTTCCCATGCACTTCATGAGTTCCTTGTGATCATTGTCCAATCCCAGAGACACTGTTTAATGCTTATAGCATCTTAAAAGGCTAAGGAGACAGTTTGGGGTAGTGGTTAAAGCACTGAGTTGGAACAAGTTGTTGCAAACTGTGTAGTTGTTGCTTGATGCGATGGCCACCAAACTAACAGGTCTCTCCGGAAACCTTTTAAAACCATTCCAATAACCCATTCAGAGTTGAACTAAGAAAAAATAAATCCTTATTCTTCTCGAGGCCTCAGTGGAGGACCGAGGGCCGCTCTTCTTCCCTCAGCTTAAAATACTTCGCAGGAATGTCATGAGAACAACACTTAGGGCAGATACACATCCTGATCCGGAGCTTCCTTTGCAGGAAAGGCAGGCTTGCGAACCTCAGCAGTTTTTTTTATTTCTCACCCAGCAGGGTTACTCGGCAGATACGGATCCAGGGCTTTTGCGTGTCGCGTGCACGCTGACAGATTCCAGCTTGTCCTGGCCCCTTTCCAGCTCCCCTTCCCCCGGTCTTATTCCACGTCATGGTGCGGTGGCAAGATACGGAGGTGGGGGAAAGCTGTCAGTGTCACCGAGGGAAAAGGGGAAGTTGGGGCCGAGCGCCAAGCAGTTTTTGGAAGGAAGGGCCGCCTCCGCCTGGCGGGGCGTGTGGAAAACCAGGGCGAAGGGTGGGCTGGGGGGGAAGGGCGAAGGAAAAAAAAGGGAAACGTTCCGTTTGATACCCGCCACCGCCTTTTGCACCAGTCCCGAAAAAAAAAACTCTTTCGGAGGCGGCTCCAAAGAGAAGATTGATAGGATGCTATAGATCGCGACTGAGCATCTCTTCCAATCAAAACTATCGCCCTGCCTCTTAGGCGGGACCTCCGAAAAGCCTGAGGTAAGCCAGGCCAATAGGAAAGCCGTCTGGAGGCATGGCGGATGGCTTGGCGAGACAATCCCCGGAGGCCAATCGCGCTGGGAGGTGTGAGCGGTGCCGCCCGGTTGCCGGGGTCGTAGCCAATGAGGAAGATCCAGATAGGCGGAGCTTAGTGGCGGGTGGCTCTGGGGTTCCGTGTGGAAAGGAGTGTTAGGGGGTTCGGGTGCAAAGTTTAGTTTCAAACCGTCTGCAAAGAGCGGCGGGGTGGTTGCAGACGCTTCTCGGAACGCGGTCTATATAGAAGGGAGACGGCGCGGCGGCGGAGCCACAGAGAGACGGTTCGTCGATAGTGACGATCACAACCCTTTTGGCCCGTGGGCGAGCAGTAGCCCCGGCGCTGGTGGAAGATTACTGCGGAGACTAGCCGCGCCAATAGCGGTGGTTTCACCGGCGGCAGCGGCCGTGGCACCTCGGCTGGCCGACGAGAGGCGTTGCTTACCCCGCTCATCTTCCCTCGCAGATTCGGCGCGGCAGCGGCAGCGGCGCCTTTCCTAGGCGGCTGAGTGGCTCCGCAGGCCGGCAGCATGGGCGTGGAGAGCCCGGGCGAGCGACCGGCTCCGGCTCGGGGGCGGCACGGCCGTCGGCGGGTGCGCCTGATGTGCATGCTGGCGCTGACTTTCGGCTTCTTCGTGGTGGAGGTGGTGGTGAGCCGCCTGACGGCCTCCCTCGCCATGCTCTCGGACTCCTTCCACATGCTCTCCGACGTGATGGCTCTGGTGGTGGCCCTGGTCGCCGTGCGCTTCGCCCAGCGCACCCGCGCCACCAAGAAGAACACCTTCGGTTGGGTGCGGGCCGAGGTGATGGGCGCCCTGGTCAACGCCGTCTTCCTGACCGCGCTCTGCTTCACCATCTTCCTGGAAGCCATCGAGCGCTTCACCGAGCCCCATGAGATCGAGCAGCCCTTAGTGGTCATCGGCGTCGGAGCCGCCGGGCTGCTCATCAACGTCCTGGGGCTCTGCCTCTTCCACCAGCACGGCGCCGGCGGCCACGGCCATTCGCATGGCGGGAACGGAGGGGGAAGCCACCGCCGGAGCGGTGCCCGAGGCAAGGCGGAGCCGCCTCCCGGCGACCTACATAAAGAAGAGGAGACCAACACCCTGGTGGACAATTTCAACAGCTCCAATGGAGTCAGCCTGGAGAAGCTGGGTGAGTTGAGGAAGGGCTTGGTGTGGGGTGCAGATGCGGAGGGGCTTCTACCCTGATCTGATCATGTTTAGATATACCTAGATCCAAGCCTGCCTCAGAAAGTGCTCTTCTTAAGCCAGGGAAAAACCTTGGGCTTGAATTCCATCTTGCCCGCACAAATAAAGACGATAAAAAGATAGGTATACCGAGCCCGCCAGACCCCAAGGGGATTGTGGCTTCCCCTTGGTCTGATCATGGGAGAGATTTTATCCTTTGGTGATCTGCCTTTCCTCTGTGATTGTGCCATGCTGACCCTAATTTACTTCTTGGCAACCCACTGCCATGGTTACTGTTACTTCATCATGCCCCAGCAGACACTTTGAGCATCTTTTGCTCTGGGAGATGGCAACTTTTTCTCTAGTGGGTTATATTAATCATTTGTTCACTATATTTCCTTGATCTTATGACCTTAAATATTGCTGTAGGCCTTTCCAGGATTCTTCATTAGGCCATAATCGGACTGAATTCTGAAAACCTAGAATATGGGAAATGGTCATCGATTACTTAAGGACAAAAAACTGTTCTTGAACCCCACTTTCACTAAAACACAAAAGCAAATACTCTGAAAGGTTTTAGATAACTTTCCTGTACTGTAGTGAATTTAATGTAATTAAAATTGCTAAACAATGTTCCTTGTATAGAAGAGAATTTCTTCAGTGTTCCTCTTCACTTGCACTTTTCTTCCATATATCTCAACAACTAGCAGCCTTTGTGTAATGTTGGTTTATTGCTTGAAGATTTTTTTTCCAGCAGCAAAATTTAACATAGAACTTTATTATACATAGACACCAGCTGTCATGGTAGATCTGGTATGCACTTCTCTCTGAGCATACACAGAATACTTGTCATTCTTTACCCAATTATGTAGTCTATAGCTTTTTCACTGACATGAAATATTGAGAAGCCATCAGCGTAGGCCACCAATAAGTTTTCTGCAGCATTTATTCTGATTTAATCGCTTTCTTAAGTCTGTTGTCATTAAAGATTTAATCATCAAAGCATCTATTTTTTTGGACAAAATTATTTGGATTGCTATTTGAGAGCTAGTGCTGGTTCTTGCTCTTAATTTCTACTCCACCCTCTGCCATGGAAGTTCATTGGTTCATAGGATTGTTGCCTTCCTCTTAGGCCAACATACTTCACAGAGTACGTTTTTGGGGAAAAATAGGAAATGCAAGTTCTTTGTATGCCACTTTTATCTTCTGAGTGAAAGGCAAAATATAAATATAATAAAATAAATGCAGAATTGTTCCTTTAAGGGCTAGTTACATTGCAGATGTAGAACTTATTCCTTGTTGTGGAAATTAATTCCTCTGGCAATGTTCTATAGTCAATACAATTGTAATTTAGTTTAATATAGATATGTTGATTCATAATTCAATCAAAGTTCTGAGATAATTTCTAAAGCAGCTTGGTTAATAGGATTTATTACCATTGTTAATCTATTGGCATGAGTGTTATCATTTATGTAAACAACTGATTTTCTAAAGTTTGCATTTGGCCTTGGGATCATCATTGGATGATTTATGCAATAAGATCCATAGTGCCGGTATGATTATGCAGCTATATTTGCCCCACCCCCACCCCACCACTACATTTAAAAAGTAGGTCTGGGAAGATGAAGCTGTAAATGCTTTTCAGAATGTTGGTATTTATGGGTAATGATTCTAAGAACAAACATGTCTCCTTAAGAAGTCCCTATAGTGGCTGTTAAAGCTTGAAAGTTTTAGGCTTACATCTTTAGCTAGGAGCACATGTACAGCATTCCTTGTATATTAATACATATATAATTGCTGTTTTCAGCACCCATAAACTTAACTCTTGATCTCCACCATTGGGAGTTGTAAAAATCATTATAGAGGTGGAGTCAGTTTAATGAAATGAGTGTGGGAGATGATTCAAGTTTCTCCAGTTACATTGCCGGAATCATTGAGCCAATAGCATTCTTCTCATCAGTATCTACAACATAACTACTCTTAAACCCATTTTGTAATACAACACACAGACAAATGGTCTCTCTTGATATAATGGCTGTTTTGTCCTTTTTGTTTTTCAGCATGAAAACAATTGCTTATTTTTTGCCTGCATAATGCTGCTAATCCAAATTTAAAATGTCACTGAGAGTGTGGGCAAAAAGGCAATTTTCATTCCCTCTTGTTCCATCTGCAGTTTTATATAGTTCCTTCCCCAAAATTTAGGTTTTCTGAAAAAAAAATACTGAATGAAAATTTTCCTATGCAATAACTACTATTTGTTTTGCATGTTTGTCTTACTATATAGTCAGCATGTACTGTATTTGGACAGTATTTTTGATGTGGAAAAAAATAAATTTAATCTGTTATATGATGTTATATGGGAAGCTCAGAACAGATGATGATGATGATGATGCTTCATCATTTTGTCCTTTTATTAACTTTCTTTAATGTAAATGACCTATATTCTTTCAGGACATTATTTGTACTAAATGCTATTTCATCCTCATAGTATTTTTGGTATTCTTTTATATGCAATATTTTCACTTGGCAATTTTCTGGTTATTTTTATTGGCTTCAATTGTCACTTTTTAAAGATTAGGCACTGTGACTAAGGCTTGCCTGAGGGGAGGGGGCTTAGCAGATCAAGTCTTTCTAGCATATCCTCAGAGACTGACTATTGAGAGGCCAGGTTCATGAGTATATGCATAGTGCACATGTGAAAATGCCTCTCTAGTTTCTATCTATTTAATCCATAGCAGGTGGTCTTCCACAATAATTCAGCCTAACCACGTGGGGGCTAGCTACAGGGAAGAACAATGACTACTTTCTTTAATTTCTTTGCAGCTTTTAAAATTGATTTACCTCTTCTTCTCTTTCCCAGCCATTGGAGCTGGCCATGGGATTCTTGCTTCTCAAAATCATTTGAAAAGCAAACATGAATAAACTCAGAAACTGCCAAACTTCCCTGAATAGAAAAGTTTGTCTCCCTTCCCTCCACCCCATCTTCTGGGGGAGAATTCACTGGAAGTAGTGCTAAGTTGTACAAGGAGAAGAGAGATGGATGAAGATCATTTTTCTGGATCATTGTGAATTAGTTCAGGATACCAGTGTGATTGGAAGCAAAACCTAATATCAAAATCCAGAATATTTTGCATTTCACTTATGTTGTATCAGTTACTGCACTTAACAATCTAAAATGATGGTCAGGATATGCTAACTGATGCTCTTCTGATGTTTTGATTTAAGCTCCCATATATAGCATGGTCAACAGTGAGGGCATCAGCTTTCATTTTCCTAGTCTTAACAATTCTCTCTCCTTTTGACTGATAATTTCCACTGCATCCTTGATATGTCAATGAGTATGCATTCAGGCATATATAAATCATTGTACCTCTGCAGTGGTAGTTTTTCTGTGTATGTATGTCTTCTCATTTTTTGAAAATTGTTCATTATGCTCAAGAGAACAGATTTTTGAAAATAGCAAATTTCACAGTTCTTTCTCCAAAACTTTCAGTTATGCCTACATATTCCTTTTTTTCTTTTATTCACCTCTAACTATGATGATTAGAATTTTGCCTTGAATAGTTTAATTAATCAAGGAAAGCTAATGAGTGCTTGAACAAAGAGATTGGCTGCGAATCATAAAGCAGCCTTTCACAATGTGGAATTTTTCAGAACTGCTAGCTGACTCCCTTAATTATTAGAGAGTTGCCAGTGTAGCTGGGGATTATGGTAGTTGATCCAGGGTATCCTGAAAGCCTTAGATTGGGGATTGCTGCTTTGAAGCCTTTGGTCTGAAGCTAATATCAGGACCTAGAGAAGAACCATTTGTCCAACTTAGAAAGGATTGCATCAGCAGTCCTGCATAACATTCTATTCTAGTTTACCACTTAAGATTAGAACATTTTGAAAGGAGAGGAGAATGATTTTGTTATTTGCTAAAACATTAGCATGCTGTAATAGGTTCAGGTTATGGAAAAACTTTATGTTCCCTGTTCTAGAGCCCTGAAGAGATCATTATTGTCACCATAAGGCAGAGATAATAACTTAAATACTTCTGGATCCAGATTTCCTTCACTTGCTATATTAACATAATGTTGCTAATTCAGTCACAGATTTCATATTTGCATAACAATGTTGCTCTTGTCTTTGCAGGTGATGTAGTAAAAGACAGCCAAATGGAGTTGCAACCAAATGGAAATATTAGCAATCACTCCTCTATAGATATGGAGATTGACGAAGATACCAGTGCTCAGCTCAATATGCGTGGAGTGTTCCTTCATGTTCTTGGAGATGCCTTGGGTTCTGTTATTGTAGTAGTGAATGCCATAATATTTTACTCTTCCTGGACTCCATGCCCGGAGGTTGGGGATTGCATCAATCTTTGTGTTAATGACCACTGTAAAAACTCCACTCAGCTTTCTTCAATGGAACTAGAGCAAATCCCTGTAGCTGGTCCTTGTTGGGTTCTGTATTTAGATCCTGCACTTTGTCTGATTATGGTGTGCATTCTACTCTATACTACTTATCCTCTGCTTAAAGAATCTGCTCTTATTCTTTTGCAAACTGTTCCTAAGCAAATTGATATTCGCTCGTTAAATGAGAAACTCCGTAAACTGGGAGATGTAGAAGCTGTCCATGAATTGCATGTGTGGCAGCTGGCAGGAAGCAGGATAATTGGCACTGCTCACATAAAATGTAAGGATCCAGAATCCTACATGAAAGTGGCAAAAGATATTAAGGAGATTTTTCATGATGAAGGGATACATGCAACAACCATTCAGCCTGAGTTTGCCATTGTAAGCTCTGATGAAGGTGTAAGTAAATGTGAACTTCCCTGCAGAATCCAGTGTGCTCTGAAACAGTGTTGTGGGACTCTGGAAAAAGCTACAGGAAAGAAGATAGAAAAGTCCCCTTCAGTTAGTATTTCTTGCTCTGAAATAGTTATTGACTCTCCATATCACAAAGCCCGGAGGACTAAATCAGAATGCATACCTGCTATAAAATTAGAAGCAGAGCCTAATCCCAACAAACAGTTTGAATCATCTTTGTAATTTGTAAAGTTATGCTGAATGAAGTATGGCTTCAACTACAAATTAATTGCAAGAAAAAAAACCATTATTAAAAAGAGAAGTTGCAAAGAAATGTAGTTATGAAGTTCAATCCTTGTCACAACAGGGAAATCCTGTTGAAAAGAACATGCCGTCCTGATATAACTTAACGTTTGTGTTAACTTGAGGCTAAATGGCACAACATTAATGCAGAGCCAGTTTCAACTTTATGCCCGATGCATTGAATTAAAAATTAAAATGATTCTATAATAATTCCCTTTTCCCTGAAATTAGTTTGTATTAAGCTTATTGGAATTGTTCTTTCTGCTTGTTGATTTGTGTATGTTTGTGTGTGTGTGTGTGTGTGACCTTTTTAAAAATTACAACTATCAGAAGAAGACACCAAACTTGACGGAATCTTTTCAAAAGGTTAACCACTTAGGACATGGTTACATTTCCTATTAGATGAAAATGAATACTATTTTAAAACAAATATACTATGTAGTATTAATAATGGCATTTTAAAATATGTCTAGTTCCATTGACAAATATCTCATATTCGTATTGGCCCTGTGACTTAACAAAAATCAGCTTACTAAATATGAATTGGAAAATTACTTGCATATCATCTGAACTGTAAGATGTAAGACAAAAATAGGTTACACTTTCTCTTTCCTTTCTTCCTTATTATATAAATCTTAGAATTTAAACTCTATAATAGAGTTTGCTGGGACTAGAGAGCCAGAGCTGGTCTCTGTCATAGCAGTGTTATCTGTGGTGTATTGGAATAGAGAGATTGCATCTGATTTTTAAATTAAAAAATGGAAAAAATGTATCAGATCAATTCATCAGCATATATTTGCTAAAATTTTAATATATTTCTTACTTTTGTAAACATATTTATGACTTAACTGAGCCATTTATTTTTTTGGTTGGATAAAATTACTTAGCTGAAATATTCAATTCATAATGAATTCTCGACATCAGCCTATGGAACAAGATTGCTGCCTGCAGCACTGGTTCAGATATCATGATACATTTTATTTGTGAAGAGGGAATGAATTGCAGCAAACCTGGAGCCGATGGCCACATGCATTCTCTCCAGCCCATCCATGAGAACTAATGATAAATTTTTGCTTATTAGCTTCACTTTGGTGTTCTACCCAAATCCTAAACCATTATTTTAATTTATTTTCAAAATAACATACAAGGAATTCAAAAATTCAAGGAACGAGATTGAGTTGGATGGAATTCTTACAGAGAAATATGGTTACTGCTAGCTACAGTTTGCCAGGTTTGGAAAAGCCCAAAAGTGATTTATTATAAGAGAAGCAAATACTTCTGGGTTTTCTTTTAGCCATGTAAGAGGGGACTGGAAGGCATATGAGGCAAAATCTTCATTCCATTTGTAGTAAAACCATTTTCTCCAACTATATTCCAGATGATTTGGACCATCTATAGTATGCCCAATAGTTAGGAGCAATGAGATAAATTAGTTCGAAACATTTGGAAAGCACTAGATTGCTGGACACCATTATAAATTACAGTTACTGTGATGTCTGAACAACCTTCAGTCAGTACTCTTACCTGTGACAGTTTGCATAGTCCGACGCAATTCCTACTTAATTCAATCTTTGAAAGATTTTAAAGGCAATTCCACAAAGTACTTTGTAAAATAGAGGAGAGTGTCTCAGTTCTGTTAGTCATTTGTACATGGATTTATAAACCTCTAGCTCAGGGGTGTCAAACTGCCGACCCATGGGCCGGTTTCATCATACCGGAGCCACGCCCACCCCATTGCCGGCAATGGCGAAAAAGCTCCGATATGTCGCGCAAGGTCATGTGATGTCGTGAGTTTGACATGCCTGCTCTAGCTTAAATATTGTTCCACTTGTTACATGTTTTAAGCTGTAAAGTAGGGCTGATTATAAATTCTCAGTTGACAATGTCAATACTGAAGCATTTTTAGAGCTATTAACATTTTTTTACAATAGTTAAATAGTTTTTTTCCAATAGTTCTAAAACGCATAGAGAAAAGCCAACAAATAAAGCAGGTGTGGTAAGTATTGCAGTCCGTCTTTATATTACAAAATAAAACTATTACATAGTTAACGTTATGGTGTGTTACATTTGACTTCTAAAATGATCAAATACAAGCAAGGCATTTGTGCTTTTTTTGTTTAAATGCTACTTATTAATACTTACAATTAGTTTCCATACATCATTCCAACAAGCATGAAATAATTGTGTGATATAATTCTCATGTTGCTAGCCTGATTGAAAAAAATGTTTTGAAAATCTCATGTTTTTCTATTTTATGGACAATATAATATTCACAGAGCCAGAACTGGAAATGTGCAAGCATGTATATATGTATGAACACACAAAAAAGCTAAATAATATTATAAAATATTATAAATTAAAAGTTTTGCAGTTAAAGCTTCATAATTTTTGAATGCTTTAGTTTGTGCTCATTAAAAATTAAAAACTTCACTTTTTAACCTTTTAGCATGAATTGGCTGATTTTATTTAGGTTAGTTTGTGTACACAGTGGAATATACAGTAATAGGCTATTTCTGATTTTCATTTCTTTGAAAAGAAAATTTGTTACATCATCTCAGTAAAGCATGAAGTTTAACCAATTTTGAGTATGTAATACAGTGATAAAATAGGAAAGCATCTTACATTTTGTCAGGTTTTGTCCTGCTTTTTATTATACAACAGCTTGTTTTTGTGGCAGAATATGTTGTATCATACCTATTTTCACAGTGAATGTTTCAGGAATATTAGCCAGGTCATATCCTAGTTATATTTGAAATAAAATGGAACATCTTGAATATCTTTAACTACAGGATGCTTTTTTCTTTATGTATTTGATCATATTGAATAGTGGAGCCAATTTTGCAAGCCTTTTTTTCTTCTGATTGGCACTGTCGGGTGTGTGTGTGAATGTTTCAATTAGAGTTACACCAGTGATAGTGGACACATTCTGCTTCATATGTGTTTTTGTGATAACCGTTCTACAATAAATGTGAGATTGCTCTGTAAATCTATTTTGCTGCAATTTCGCATGATTCCATCCCCCCAAAAGTTATAGTGTATATATCCATCATGTGCTTTTAATCACAAATGCACAATTGATCAAGTGCTGTGTCATTCTATGATATGTAACGTGTAAATACTCAAATGATGGTAAGTGATTATCTTTTACTACTTAAGTGTTTGAAGGAGTTGCCTGTAAAAGAAAGATATGCCTTTCTAAAGCAGGACTATGTGTTTAAAAGTGTTACCGAAAGTTTTGCGGACTGCTTCAAAACTAATTGAAGAACTACTGCTCCAGATCTCTTTGTTAAGGTTTGCCTTTCTGTTAGCCATGAGCACTGGGCAAACTTGCTGTATGGAGCTTGTAGCTGGGACCTGTTTTAGAAAGAACCGAGTACTGGGTCCATTGAGTTAATGGGAAACAGTGGGGATAAATGCACTTTTTGACACTTCTCCTTGAAGGGGGAAATCATTTTAACTTTACATCTCCGTTTTGATTTTTTTTAAAGTTTTATGAAACATGTATTGCATATGTAAGGTATTAAGTACAATATTTAAATATGCTGCTTTAATTTCCCAACAGCATCAATGTAGCATTTTTGGGACTCTGGCTTATGTTTACAGAACCTATAATGTAGATTGTTTCTATCTTTCACTAACTCATTGCCTCTTGGTGGATTGAATGGTACTAATACTTCATGTGCCTGAAATAAGGTATTTGATCATATTATTCTTCTGTGTTAAACCAAATGCAGCCTTACTGTTAACAGGAGCTTTCATTCATTTGTATGATATTAGGTTATATTGTTAAATTGATCATGTGAAGACCACTTCCATGTTTTAGAAATATGTGAGCCTTATTTTTTCTCTCCACTTGCTGGATTTATATATTAAAATATTCTGAAGCATAGCCTCCAAATCCACATGCTCTTCTGTAGGGAGGGAGGCAACCTTTTGCACTCTAGGGGTTGTGTTTGAAACCATTGTTTGGGAGATCTGGATGGTATGTCTATATTGATTACAGTACTTTCGATAACAATGAGCCTCTGTTAAACCAGTCATGCTATGGTGGGGTTTTTTTTTGCATATAAATTAAAGATTGAGAAGGAAATAAATGTTGTTAAATAAACTTGATAACTGGCACAGTACTTTGTCTCCCCCGCCCACCCCGCGGTTTAACAGCTCCTTCACTTGCTAAAATCCTTTGGTGAGGTTAGCATTATCTAAATAAATGGAGGTTTGGTTAAATGCAGAATTGGTATGAGTGTATACACAAGGTTTTATTTTATCTTAACATCTCAAGCACCAATCCAGCTGGAAGGGGAATGTTTGTCAAGTTTTTAATCCAACTAATCTAAAGCCTTGGGATTTCCTAATTGTCTTCCGTCCAAATAACTAGCTTCAACTCTGCTTTCATATTTCTGAATGTCTTTCAAGACAAAAAAGATCATTCAAGCCTGACTGCATAGTTAGATCCAATATTTTGTACATGTACAATCATTTTAAAAATAATAAAATGTAATCTTCAGAACCATTAATATACTCTGCAATAGCAATAAATTCATGGAATCTGAAATCCCACACCTAAATTTAGATGTTTCGTTTAGTCACAGCACTTTCAATAGACTATTGCATTGGACAATTCAATGTACAAAATGTAATCATATAAGTAGTCCACTTTTATAGTAGCTGGAGTCAAAGCAGATGTCAGAATCTAGCTGATAATGGTAGATCCAAAGTATTAAACAGGATTGGGCTAGTTAGTACTTGGGATGCCATCAAGAAATCTTAGGGTTATAGATTATACTGGGAAATAAAAAAATCTCAGAAGAATGTCATGACAAACCAGTTCCATATCATTTCAAGGAAATATATGTGCTCACTTAGTACCTGTTTAGACCTGAAGGAGGCCTTATTATTTACAGCCCTTAGGAAAACGAATATAAATGGTTTACTTTACAATTCCATTATGTGTCATCAAGTCAGTATTCATTATTAGCAGCTGCGTAGAGAGATTTTCTCCAGGTTGATTTATTACTTTGCAATAGATGATAAATGTTGACTAAGATTAAAAGATGTGGCTGAGTTTATTTTCTTACTCAGTCTTCCTGCCATTCTTTTTTTTTTTTTGTACCACACCTGTCAGTTTGGCACGGGGATCAGGATTATCTTGATTTTTCAAATATTCTGGGAGTTGGGAGCTGAAGAATAAAAACCAGAGTTTATATTAATTAACCGAATAATGCACTGTGAGAAGTGATATCTCTAAACCATTTTGAAACTGTATACTATCCATTTTGTTAGATATTTCCAAATTCATCATACAAAACCAATGTTCTCCATAATTCTAGAAAGCTCCAAAGAAAACTTTTTGTCTTCTTTTAGGAAGGTATTTTTGACCTTCTAGATTTAAATCAAAGCTTCAAGATGATGTGATCAGAAGCAAACACAATATTTCAAATAGGGATGTCCCATAGACTTATGAAACAGCTCTATAATATCAACAATCCCATCCTCAACCCTATGTGTGTTAATTGCTGATCAGGGAGGTGTATTTGCTTTTGGAGATTCTAAATGCAAATGTAATATTTATTTTCCACCAGGTCTTTATTTTAAATTTCAATTGCACAATAATGTTTTTTTTATGCAGTTGTGATAAAACTATATGCAATACTGTATTGAGTCCTGGAATTTCAAAAGTACACCCAATGCTATGTATGCTAATACTTGGCAAACAAGTAGGTGCTAATACTTTATTAAAGACTAGGTATGTCTTCCCTGAAAAAAAAATCTGAAGGCATTTGTATACTTGAACTTCTTGCCACCAAAGCTGCAGAATAAGAGATATTTTAAATAACACAAGGAGGAAGCAAACACTTTAAACAAAAGCTTAAAACAGTCTGAAGTGGTTATGTATGAATAATATTATATCAACATTATGTTAATGTATTGAAAGAGCCAGCCTGGTGTAGTGGTTAAGGCATAAAACTAGAAACCTGGTGACTGAACCCTGGTCTTTCCTTAGGCATGAAGCCAGCTAGGTGACCTAAGGCCAGTTACTCGGTCTCAGCCCCACGTTGGAGGCAATAACAATCCACTTCTGAAAAACCTCGTCAAGAAAACTCCAGGGACATGTCCAGGCAGTCACTGACTCCAAAGGACACCCCCCTCCCAGTAAAAAAGATGGTGGCATTGACAGAAAGGAAGTTTGATGGCTAAGGAATGATTTAGCCAAATGAGCCAGCCTGTGTTATAGGCCCACAGAGACAATAATACTTGTTTATTGATTTAACCAATTTATATAACTGCTCATCTCGGTGACTGTGTGGTGGACAATGAAGAAATTAAAACATACATACACAAAAATGAATATACATAGCTGCCAGAAAAACCCAACAATCATCAACATAGCCAGGAGATGGGTCCCTTCATATACTTGGAGCTTCAGGTCTGGGCACCTTATTTTGCTATATTTTGATGAGCAGTTTGTTTCTGGGCTATTTTTCAGATGTTGCATTTAAAGCTGAATATAGCCCAAGTCCAGTTACTTTGAGGAAAGACGGATACATCAGAATTTTGGCTGACATTTGAATAGCATAGAAAATAGTTGGGTGATGATTAGAGTTCTGTAGCTGCCCACAATGAAATCACTCTTGGGATACATAATTTTTTTCTCATGCACAATGTTAGAATTTGAGTCATTCTTAGAAACTAGTCCTGGGATTAACTGAAAGAAATTTTTTTCACAAGGAGTTAAACTGAACAGTAAAATTAAGTGTCAGTAGTAACAGCAGGTAATTTGGTTGGTTTTAAATAAGAATGGTACAGGTTTATGGTGGTTTGTGATATCAATAACTACAATATAGATGATGGTTATCTTAGTTCAAGTTTTGGCAGATGAAAAGATTAAGATTGTTCATCCCAATCACATTTTTGAAAGAATGGAGTGGTTGTAAATTAAAAGAAAAAATAAATGAGAAAAGGGTATAGGCGGATATTTATTTATTGACTCCAGATTTTCTTTCTGAGCATTACATGTATACTAGCAATTTGCTTTGCAGATAGTCAATTTATTTTTTTTTAGTTGAACTTCCTCATTCTTGGCTTAACATTTTTTCTTGCTCAATCCTCCTTCAATTACTTTGTTATTCAACTTTCCATTCTTCTTTTCCCCTGTCTTCTCTTTCTTTCACTACATATACACAGTGTTTTATTCTGGTAATTTTTGTCCAGTTTCACTAGTTTTATTTAGTTTATTTACCACTGTCCCCAAAACAAATAATTCATATGCTACTTTTTTTTTATTAAAAAGTTTTATAAGTTTTACAAAAAGAACAAAACAATACAAAAACAAAAAACAACATATACAAAGAAAAAACTAAACATTACACAACAAAACCCCCCTGCCCCAACCCCCGCCCAAACACCCTCCCTTCCCCCCCCTGAACTTCCCAGAGAAGAATATAGGCTTAATTAAAAAACAATTAAAAAATTATGTTTATAAAAAAAAAGAAAATATAACATTAAGATATATATGTATATATATAAAAATAAAGATTATGAAAAGGTTATATAATATTTTTTTATATCCAGTTTAAATTGTATAAATTTTATCCACTTATCCCAAACAGCAAGAAATTTCTCTTGCGTTTGTTCCTTTAAAAAAGCCGAAATCTTTGCCATTTCCGCCAAATAAGACACTTTAAGAAACCATTCCTGCAATGTAGGCAAAGATTCCTTCTTCCAATATTGTCCTACTAACAGCCTCATGGCTGTAATCAAATTTAACATCAATATAACCTCCTTTGTATCACAATCAGTAACTATACCCAACAAAAATAATTGCGGAGTAAATTTTACCCTCCTTCTAAAAATTCTCTGGATATTCCACCATATCTTAATCCAAAATGCTTTTATCTCTCTGCACGACCACCAAATATGATAATAAGTAGCGTCCATACAACCACATCTCCAACATTTAGGTTGTAAGTCAGGGTACATAAGAGACATTTTTTGTGGATCAAGGTGCCATCTATAAAACATTTTATAAAAATTCTCCCTTAAGTTCTGTGCTTGTGTAAATTTGACATTTCTCACCCAGATGGTTTCCCAGGTGTCCAATGGAACTGGCTCACCAAAGTTCTGCGCCCATCTGATCATACAATCTTTAATTAGTTCCGTTTCTGAATCCAATTCAACTAAAACCCCATAAATCCTCTTAATGTGGGTTTGTCTTTGATCCTTCACTTGCTTAATAAAATTTTCATCTTCTCTAAGAAAACCCACCTTACAATCCACCTTCCATCTATCTACTAGTTGCCTATATTGGAACCAAGAATAAATAATATTTTCTTGTGCTAACTCTTCCCGTGATTTAAACTGCCAGTTTTGTCCATCCCATCTAAGTAGCTGTCTATAAGACACCATATCCATTTTAGCACCTCTTTTTATTCCTTCTATCGCATGCCAAGGTATAGCCCATAATGGTACTTTAAAATCACTTTTATAATATTTTCTCCAAGTCCCTAAGTAAAGAAATTCTTAAAATATGAGCTTTAAAGACCCAATCCATTTTTTATTAAATATTAAATAGGCATGCCACCCAAAAATATGCTACTTTTTATAATATATTTAATTGGGAATAATATAATATAATAATATAATATATTATATATTTTCCCCATCTTTTGTCCATGTAAGCAGTATTACCTTCCCCATTTCAATTTGGTCCTAATGAAAAGTGTCTGAGGGTGTACGTGTTTTTAATAGACTATGCAAAGTAACAAATATTAGGCATGATGATGATTGTGGGACTCAGTCAAATAGTGCTGACAAGTATAGCTGGAGCGTGGAGTGCAGTATATTAGTGCAATATATTCAAAAGACCATGTAATTCAAAAAGCCGTACATCAATTCCTTTAAAAAAAAACACTTTATCCTTTTGTAATAGTCTTCCTGTATTTTTTCCCATTTTGTTTAAAATATAATGGGCATTGTTAAGCATTTATATTTTCTCCATGCTATATACAGTAATAAGAAAATGGAACTCATTTTTTTTCTCAGTTCACATTCCAAAGCCTAGAATAAATTGGGAGGGGCTTCCCATCCCTTTGCGGTGCGATTACAAGGCTGGTTAGACTACTATAACACAAGCTCTTGCTACAAAGCTGGTTATGCAATCTTTGCAAAATCCAGTAGTGACATAACCCTAACTTACAATTATCTATTTTGGAATCTGAAACTTGTCATGCTTGTTATAAGTGACGTTATTCCAAATTGGGTCTGCATTTTTCCATTAAGTCATCTTGCATTTATAATCTTGGAAAGAACAGTATTCCTTATAGAGTAGTGCAAGTGCAAAGGGATTGAGGAAATGTAGCTTGCTTTCTATGCAACTATGCTTAAGGCATCAGCTCAACAAAATCATTTCTTTTCACGTATGGAATTATCAGATAATTGCTGGTCATTTTGTGCCAGAGAAGAGGAGAAACTTGGAAGATACAGTAAGATGCTGTCTTCTCCAGCCCCCATTTTACAAGTAATTTATATGCTGGCTTAATTTAAATATTTAGCAAACATTATATTGTTGCCACAACTACTGGGTAAAATATCTTGGATTATTCATAAACAATGATCACTGGCACATTTTTTAACATGGAAATCCCTTGAGAGGGTGAGTATATGTATATCTTTTTGATCATGATTTATTACTTGTTGCTTGTATGTATATTGAGAGCTTATGCACTGGGGACAAATTCCTTGTGTATCCAATCACACTTGGCCAATAAAGCTATTCTATTATATTCCATTCTATTCTATTCTATTCTATTCTATTCTATTCTATTCTATTCTATTCTATTCTATTCTATTCTAAGCAATAGCTTAACATTTTGATTCTGACCTGTGAGCTAGGTGCTTTTTCAAAAATGGCAAGTGTATGCAAAATTTGCTTTGCTGCTGTTTGAATACATTTTTCCTCATCTGCCACAGGTCCTCCTAGGTGCTGAGCATGCAGGTACAATGTCTAAAGGCTATGCTGTAAGCCAGACTCAGCAGTTCTGCTCCTCAGTCTGCATAACTGTGTCAACATTGCACAGATTGGCTTTTGGCAGCAAGATCAAGCAGGACCCAGATGTATGGGGTTCTCGCTAGCTGCATTTGTTTATACACATGCAGGGTACGCACAGTGAGTGGTAGAGAAGGCAGGAAAAGGAAAGAAATGCCAATTTTTGAAAGTGTGTATGTATGCATGAAATCACTGGCAAAAAAACTTCCTAGATGACTGCAGGAGATAGAAAGGCATTCCACTGACAGATAAATAACAATTGGAATCAACACTCTCTTTCTGAATCTACCATTTGAGAGTCTAGCAGTTACAATTTAGAATGCAGATACATTTTTTGGAATCCCACCCTCTGTGACCTTAAAGCTTTTTTTTTCAAGGTTAATTGGGGGAAAGAGATGCCTGACAAACAAAATAGCTATTCATTGATTAAAAAAAAAGATGGGATTCCCCAGTAATAGGAAGATAACCAAAAGCAGCAGTAGTATATTTGCCTTTAATGGAGGCAATCAGGTTTATGAGAGCAGACATTCAGGATCACTAGAATTCTTTAGTATAGGTTGAAGGTTTAACTCTCAAAAGAGGGATAAGGAAGAGGAAAGGATATTGAGTTTGATAGAAAGATAAGATAAGATAAGCTTTATTGTCATTATTTTACTGTGGGCACAATGGCACACATCAAAAATGAAATTTAGTTGCCCGATTGTAGAGATCTTAAGATGGAAAGCAGGAAGAGCTTGTTACTCTGAAAACTAGGCTTATCTATTTAAATATTAAATCCTATGTAACTTTGCAGAGCTAACACACTACTTGGTGGGTTTTAAACAAAAAGCTTTCATTGGCTGCTAATGGAAACAAAACAAAATAAACCCTCTGGAGAGTGCTGAGCATAAAAATCCACCACCGTTCTCCCTCCAGAAAATATAACAACTCTTGTTTGCGCAGCTGAATCTGTCTTGAGAACCAGCATGACATGGGTTGGTTAAATGTCAAGAGAATCATATTTTCCAATCTGGCTATAAAATCATTTCTCAGGCTATTGTATCCATCCACAGAGAAAGCTAACTATGGTGCTCAGCATCTGTGACAACTATGAAGCTGAGGGTATGCCCTACTAGGCAACTTCCTATAGACATCTCTGTACCACTGTGGAAACAGGGTGCTCAACTAGATGGACTTATAAGAAAATTATAAGAAAAAAATCCATCAAAAGGAATTATGTGGTTCCTCGTATACTGCCTTAATCTCCTTACTGGAAAAGCGAAGTATAAATTATAGCTCTGTCTGCAACATAGGAGTTCTTTGTAAGCCAGAAAAAAGTAGGTAAGGAAAACTGGATACTTCCTGTATTAGTGGAATTAGATGACATTTTTATATGAGCCACAAAAAAGATGATTAAACCAAAGACTGCAGAATTTATACCTCATTAAACTATTACCATGTTCAGTTCTATCTCAGCAATTGGCACCTTAACCTGTACTGATGAACTCAATAGTTGCAACTACTATATGATGTTTTTATAGATCCTAATGAAAGTATGATATATTTCTGTTACTCCTCTCCTCCTGCCCCTAATTATTAGAAGTTAATCAGAAACTTGTTTGGATTTTTTTGCTTGCTATTGTGTTATAATTGGCTCACCCTAACAGTGATTTTTAGTGCTTGTTTTAGTTGAGAATTTCTGTTAGAGATAAAATTGATGACATCTGAGTTAGCCTCTTATCTCATGACTAGTCAGCTTTAAATAAACAAGAACCTTGATTAAGTTAAATGGTTCATAGCAGAGATGTCTCAGGGAATGCCTTTTCCTCTGACTTTGCACTTTAGTCAGTGTAGACTGTGGGAGTAAGTCACATTGAAATTGTGAGACTTCTGAGCAGATGTGTATAAAATTGCCCCATTTGGATCCAAGCAGACCAGTATTATTAAACTTGGCAACTTTAAGATGTGTGGACCTGAACTCTCAGAATTTCCCAGCCACATATTGTAAAGTTGCCAAGTATGGAAAACACTGATGCAAACAAACAGGGCCATGTTAAGAATTTGAGAGGCTTATTTGAGAGATGCAAATTTAAGCCCTCCCTCTTTCAATTCCCTCTATCGTGTCTATTGGCTTTATACATTACAGTCAAGAGTCCAATAAATAGAAGTTAGCTCAAAAATACTCCCATAGTTTCTGGGATTATAGTTGAACTGATTATTAATACTGCCTTAAATTATATGTGTCCAGCAATCTGACCACTTCAAATAGTCTTTGCACAAGTCAGAAATCATCTAAAATAATCTACAAATATAATATAATGAGTTTTAAGGCTGGAGTGAACAAAATTTGAAAAAAAGGATTTCTTTTGATTTTTCTATTGATGTTTGTAACAGAAAACTTCACTTAACATTCAACATGCATAAGGAAATGGATCCTGTTTTTTCCACCTTTCCAAGAAACTCCTGTTCTCTAATAATAAACATGTTGATTAGTTCCTTAAAGATAAAAACATTTTATTGCAGACTAGGGACAGTTACAGTCTGGACCTTTCATACTTGTAATAACTGTACTAAGATTCTGAACTCCCTCATGGACTGAACTCATGGATTCAGTGCCTGTTTAGCTCCAGAAAGTGGATTATTTAGTTGCTCTCTTAAGGGATAGGGAATAATCTACCACTGCCTTTCTTTGGAAAAATTGTGAAATTTAAATATACTTTTTTTTTCAAAAAAAAAAACCACAATAAAACATTGTGCAGGCATTTGTTCAGATAAACATGCAACGTATCTATGGTAAGGAATATGTTAACATGTAACATGCTGTTTTCAGCAAAACAAAACACTTTGCTGGATTCCTGTATATGCTCCATATAATTATAGAGGAAAATGTGATAACCAAAAGAAGCTAAGCAAGATAAATGCTGATTTAAGACAGTAATCAAGAAGAAAAGTTAATTGTTGTTTGATGTAGAAGTAATGGCACATTGATGTTTGAAGAGCTAACATTGTAGGAAAAAAATGGAAGAGCTCATTCTGTAATAATTCCAGTGGCCATACCCATTCATTGATATATTTGATCACACTGTGGGACTAAGTCCCAAAGCTTTTTTTAAAAGGATTGTCCAATCGAGTAGCTCAAGAAAACACACTACTTGAAACATATCTGCTGCTTCCTGCTTTACCATGTCTTTGTAGTTTTCGATTTATTGGAAAACTTGACATTTTTATGCAGTCTTGTCTGAAACAGTGTCTTGAAGCCTGCGCTAAAATGCACTCTAGTCCATATAGAGGACAAAGACAAAGGACAGGAAAACAAAGGTAGAAAAACTGTCAATCCAATGTTCATCTAGGTAAGGCCAAGTGGAAGGAATATGTAACTTTATGAAATTCAGAGAAAGCATTCCTGACATCAGCTGTAGCACAGAGAAAGTAAACATCAGATGGCACTCCACAATTTTTTTTTAACTTTTTTGTTAAACAAAAACAGTCCCAGAAGATCTCCTCACAATCATCTCAGATGTGTAAGACTTCACCCATTGCATCCTGTTTCCAAGCTGTTGAGGGCCATATTTTAGGTGACATAAGCAAATCTTGAATCTGTCTCAATGGCCAATTAGAAGCCACTGATGTCTGATGCAACTCTTATGGTCCTTACACAGTTGAGTAGGGAGAAGTAGAATATAGTGATACGTCAAAATATATTAATGCATTAAAAGCAAACAATTCCTTGCAATGTATGAAGGCCTAACAGCCTCTTTGGCGTTAAGTGAATATAGCTAGTCAAATATGTTGTAAAACTAAAGGATTATTGTCACATTTACACCTTATTTTAATGAGCCCAGAAAATATCAATCTACCTCACATGAGCATGCTTCTATTTTGCAGAGAGTAATGGAACACAGTTCTCATTAAGAACTCTTTGAAGGAATTCTTTTATTAATATGATGTGTTAAAGTACACAAATTTTGTATTTATTCTGTGTCATCTTTCTGCCAACAGAATTTAAATAGCTGCAATTATGCTGACTGTTTTTTCCAGAGCTTTTTCTGTCATAAAACACACGGAATGGCGTTCCAGCACCTTTTTTCAACAGAATTTGTGGAACTAAAAAAGTTCAGTCAGACCTTCCAACTTCTTGCGGAAAAAAAAAAAAATCTCACAAGGAGTTGGAAGATTTGACTGAACTTTTTTTAGTCCCACAAACTCTGTTTCCCTGCAGCAGAAGAGAAACACACCAGACCTGGAAAGCAGATTAGCAACTCCTGTTTTTTACTCAGCATGTTCTTGGTCTCTTTAAGCCTCTGGATGGCCTCCTGGGGAGAAGGCCCCTTCCCACCACCTTTCTCCCCCGGGCTGATCCTGAACAACTTCCCCAGTAGGCTGGACATGGCTGGACCTTGCGCAAGGAGAGTGACCGACCAAGAACCCCAGCCCGGAGGAAGTAAGGAAAATGGGGAGGGGAAGGAGGGTCTTTAGAAGATGCTATGGTAGCTCCCGAGATGCTGAGAATAGACGTGGCGGCGAAAGGTGATCCCTCTGGTCCCCTCCTGCCCTCAAACCGTCAATCGGGTTAGTTGGCCGCACAGGGCAAAGGCCTGAAACTGACCGCTCTCTTAGACCAGCCCTCG